GCTCTCCGAATTTTCGCTCTCCAAAAAATATATATATATAAAATTATAATTTTTTTTAAAAAATTTCCTAACGGCTATATTTTTAACGGTTATATTTGTAACAGCTATATTTTCTCAGTGACAATATTTTTCAATCAAACAATATTTTTTGCAAATTATTTAAAAAAACTACCATTGATATTATAACTTGAAACAATACATTATCCATTATGGATTAAAAAAAAATAAATAAACAAAACAATTAAAAATAACTTAAACAATACAATACCCTAAATTGGAATAAGAAAATAAATTGGCCAAGGATTACAAAATCCTATGGGAACTTTGGGGCGGACCATTAATTCAAAGATGCCAATATCTCATTTTGTTGTGCAATAATCCAAGTTTTTCCCGCTTCTGTTGGTGCCGAATTTGGATCTGTTAACATGATATCCTTCGCTTCAAGTCTCTATTTTTCTAGAATCTCTAGCTGTCTCGTCTTCTCTTTCTCTATTTTTCTTACCTTTCGTGCCACTTAGGCATCCTGCATTTTCTCCTAACAATTCTCAAAACGACTGGTTATATTATTAAATTTCGAAACGAATGAAGTTTGCAATTCATTCGCTGAATTAATTTGTGTTCGACACTGTTTTGTCGCTTTTATAGTGTTTCCATTTTTCGCCATTTTTCATTTTTTCAAAAATTTTGTCGTTGCAAGGGCATTTTTGTCTTTTCTCGTTTTGCATGCTGAACACCATGAAGTGTGCCGGATGTGTCAGAGAGTTTATTAGGGCATTTCATTGAGTTCAAGACTCTTTGAAATGTAAGATTTGTCATTTTTGTATTTTTCCATTTTTTTGAGCCGAACGATTCCGGGTGGGACCCGTTACCGGAATTGTCATGTACAAGAGTTACAGTTGGGTCTATTTACATCATTTTCATTTTATTTAATGTGTTGTATGTGACTATATTATAGTTGGTGCATATATACAAATTTGTGGTGATAATTAATAAGAAAAAAAAAAAGGAAAATTTTGTTTAAAAAGGTGGTGGGACCCACTACTAGCATATATGTGTGGCTTAGAAACCCATTTGGTCTCATTATTCCTCTCTCTCCCGTAGCTCACTCTCACCCCTCTCATTCTCTATTTTTTTTCTATTTCTTTTTACAAGATTTCAATCCTAGATTTCTCCTTCAATTTTTGGAGTTTTTAAGTGCCGTTTACGGCAAATTAGAGATCACAGTGAGATCTTCGATTTGATCAGAGCAAAGGTGGTTTTGGTGCACCCTAAGAATTTTAAATTCTAGGATCTAGATTCGGCAAATTGGGGGGTTTTTGCAATTCTTGAGGTAGGGGTTTCTATCACAATTTTCTTTAAATTTTGTGAGTTTTTTTATAAAAGTTGTTAAATTGTTTACTAAATTATGAGTATTGTTTAAGGTTATGGACATTTTATGTATAATGAGCATGACAAGGTGTATAATGTGTTGAATGTGATAAAAATTGCTTGTATTGTTTATTGAATTTGATTATATGCACTTGAATACTTGAATGTCAAATACTATATTGTCAAAATTGTTAATTGAGAGTTTATTAATTTAATTTTCCTAAAAGCATGCAAATGAGATATAGATGAATTGTATGGAATTGTGAACTTGACATGGTATGGTGATCAAAGTATGAAGCATTCATGCATTGCATTGGGCAAGAAAGGGAAAATTTGTTTTGAAATGAAATGAAATAATTTTTGAAAATTTGTTTTAGAAAGTGTTTGTGAAAATCAGACGCTTAGGAGGCGTTTAGTGGTCCGTGGTGTTAGTGTAGTCTAGAGAGGACTAGGGATTGAGTTAAATAGGCCGGATGCGACGTCTTGGAGGTGCCTTATGGTCTTGGATAGTTAGCCAATCCCCCTTTCATGACGCCTTGGGTCGGATTATACTAACGGTTTGGAAGTTAAAACGGTATTATTTCGAAAATAAGGAGTAACATTGCATGGTATGGCGCATCATTGGCATACTTGGTGCATTTGGTTGTTGGTTGGTATATGTATGTTTGTTAATGATACAGTGGTTTTACTCGACTCCCGAGATATGATCATGTTCTCATACTTTCTATTCTCTATGTGGATTCACGGGGTCATAAGAGGTGTGTCTTACCTCCTACTGAGCAATTTGCTCACCCCTTATATTTAATATTTTTCAGGACACGGATGGGAAGTAGCGGACGACGCTTCTCCATAGGGTTCGATGGGTTAGTAGACCGTTTTGACATCATTTATAGCTATGATCTCATTTTATTATTATTTATTTATTTATTTATTTATTATTATTATTATTATTTTTTATAAATCCTGGGATGACACGCATATTATGTATTGACATAGGAAAGGATGGTAGAGCTCTTAGTTGACTTCGGGTTCGGGTAAGGACCCAGTCAGCGATTCGAACCCTCGGGTTCGGGTCGTTACAGCTTTTCTTCCTGCTGGTCTTTGTAGTTGTTGATATTCTTCCACGCCGGGTGAATTATTTTCCCCTATTTGTGGTGATTCTTCAGTTGAAGTTCCATCTGTCGTGGCTGCATGACTTGACGGAGTAGATGGTAATGAGTGCCCAACAGACTCATTAATGTCAAAGTCAAACCACTCCTCTTCTTCGGCTATTTTTTCTTTTTTCATTTTCCTACTTGTTCAGCACAATATGAATGTCATTTATTGTTATGCTTCAAGATCTCCCGGCAACTTTCTAACTTAAATTCACCACCTGTTTAGCTTCGAAACAGGTCTTTAGTTGCCATCATCTACACGAAAAAATTAACAAAAAATTAAAAACCGACTATTTAAATATTTACGAGTTATATTTAAACAATAAAGAACTCACCATATCATCACTGCTGAAGCCGTTGGGACAATTCATTTCCATGGTAGTCATGTACCTGAAAAATTTGTTGATTTTTTGTTGGATCACCGACCAACGATTCATCAAACCTCTATCATTTCGCTCAGTTGGAACACCAATATGTTGTTTATATTGTTTCAGAATTCGCTCCCATAACTTCTTCTTACTTTGGTCTACTCCCGTAACCGCATCAGAGATAATGGACATCCACACCCAACATAAAGTCTCATCTTTAGCCTTGGTCCAATTATTAGGTCGGATAGCCGGTTGTTTTGGCGGGGGTTTTGAGTTACTTGATTGTGGAACACTAGTACCACAATATTGATTAGAAGTTTAGGTTGGGATGGTTGATGAGAAGGAAATTAAGAATCTCCTCCATAATAATTGATATTGTCTTCGGAAAATAGCAAAAACTCATCGTTTGATAGGTTGAATTGGGTGTTGTAATAAAATGGTTGTCGAGGATCTATGGAATCAAAATGACTTTGAAAATAATAGCTAAGATGGAGAAATTAAATAGAAGAAGAAATAAGTTGAATGGTAGATAATAGAGATATGTTAGATGTGATGAGTGATGGTAGGAGTTGAGGTATTTATAGAGATTTTAAAATTTTAATTAATTTTTTTTTTTAATAAAGTTAAAAAATTTTGAATTTTTAAACTTTTTTTTAAAATTATAGCCGTTAAGGCACTATTTGTGTCAGCCAAACAGTGCCCTAACGGCCGAATACACTATTTGTGGTACACATCTAAAATTTAAAGAAAAAAAAATTTTTTAAAAACCAAATTTTAAGGGGGAGGGGGGGGGGGGGGGGGGGAAGATTTTTTAATTTATTTTTGGCCCAAAAATAAATTTTTTTGGACAAACAATGCCTAAACAATATATTTTTTATTTAATGAATTTTTTTTTTTTTCAAAAAAAAGGTGCTATAAATAACTTATTTGTAGGTTTTTTTTAAAAAAATTTTCTACCAAACAGTGCCTTAAGGGACTGTTCAATCACTGTACAGAACCGTTGAGAGGAAAAAACAAAAAGGTCAACCAAAACGGCGCCGTTTTGCAACAAAAACAAAAACCAAAAAAAAAAAATTTTAGCAATCGCAGACCGACTCGCTGAATACTGCGAGTCGGCCCACGAGCAAAACTGGGCCCCACCAATTTTGGCTACACCGCTACACGGCCAAAGACTCTTCAGCTCACAGAAAATGGGATTTGAAGAGCCCACTGCAATTGCTCTTAAAGCTAACTATCTCTCTCTAGTATATTTTTGTACTTTGTTTAGTCACTATGCATAACCCCGGGGAGGAAAAAAACAAAAAGGGCAACCAAAACGGCACCGTTTTGCAACAAAAAAAAAATTCAGCAATTGCGGACCGGCTCACTGACTACCGCGAGCCAGTCCGCAAGTAAAACTGCGCCCCACTAATTACAGCATTGCACGCCCAAAGACCCTTCAGCTTGTGAAAAATGGTCTTTCAAAAAAGCCCGCTGCAGTTACTCTTAGAGCTAGCTATCTCTCTCTAGTACGTAGTATTCTTTTGTTCAAGAATGGGTGTACCATTCTGCTCTTGTACTTTGTTGGGACCACATCGTCCTCGTAATTTCTGTAGCATTTTCTTCACAATATATACTCATTTGTTGTACACGGTTTAAATGTATTTTGAATGCTTTTCATCCATAATATTTCCTATTTGGTACACTCGAATTATTTCATGATAAATACATTATTTGGGTGTCGTACAACCTCTTAAATTGATTTATTATTATTATTATTATTAATTTAAATTATTTTTTTCAAAAAGACTCCTTTGAAAATGTTTCATAAAAAAGACACCATAGTCTCACGTCCTCGGGTCCTGCTGGGTTTTGGAATTATTTTACTCGGTCAGGGTTTGAAAATCAGAGTTCGAAACTCTAATTGTTAATTAATATATATTTTTTATTAATTATTATTTTTCTTTCTCTCTCTCATATAAGATAATTATTTTCCTGTGCAAAAGAGAAGGAACACATATTGGAGATATTGAGTGTCAATACCAATGCAACTATATATATATATGTATATCAGTTCCTGATCCATTTTGGTCAAATTAAATCAGTCCACTACTCAAAACAGGTTCAGATGTATACAGAACATTTTAGTTAAAATCTAAATAATTAGACATACAAAAAATGGATATGAGGAACATTTCTTGTCGATATGCAAAATGTTAGATTTCCTTTTTCCTCGTAAGTTCTAGCATCTGCTGAAATGGCACAAACTTTGTATCTAAACCTACTTAGTAAACTAATTGAGTATTCCCCTATGGCACTTTCAAAAATTCCAAATGGTCTCATACTACAATATGTATCAAAAGAGGCCCACTGTTTTGTTAAATTTGTTTTGGGCCTAAGGATGATCCAAAGAAAGTGCCTTCACGATTTTATGGATGCTGTATTGCCGGGAAACAGAAGGCTTCGGGAGGCTTCGGCCTTTGTTGAGTCTTCTATTCTTTATTTGGGCTTCTTCGGCTTCATCAAAGTCACGCATTTCAATAGCCCCTTTAACCAGATGGGCCGAGCCCTCTTCTTCCCTGGCCTCTGATGATTTTTCGGATGACGACTTGTAAAATCCGTAGATGATCAGCTGGGCCGAGCCCAATACAAACCCAATTGCATTTGGCACCTGAAGATGACCCAATATCAATTTTCCAAGTCTTAATCAAAATGACACATCCAAAATCAATCTGATCAGTTATTCTAAGAGTAATGTTACAATTTCCGATCTAACTCTTGTTTGTATCGTAGTAAAATACGGTGGAAAAGTACGTACCTGTGAAGGTAAGATATAAATTTTTTATTTTATTTTATTTTATTTTTTTTAACAATGTTAAAAATTAGGTATAAAATGACAATGAAAAAATACGAATGCGAATATGTTGGGGTATAATAATTCTTTTTTTAAAAAAAAAAAAATTGTTATTAAAAATTCAACATGTATAAACTGTTTTTCTTCTCATATAGCTTATACATTTTCATTTCAATAATATAAAAGACTATAAATAAATAATAAGGAAGTGTGGAGTGTTGTAAAGTGAAGGAAGATTCTAATTTATTAAAGAGTTTGTAGAAATTGGTATATTGAAGAAGATTTTAGAAGATTAGAGATTTTGTAAATATGTATATATTTTGTCGGAGGGTTCTGGAAATTAAATATTAACCATGGATTATAATGTCCCTAATCATGTTTAGTGACCAAAGACTAAACAAAATTGTTGTAATCAATATTCACTAAATTTAAAACTTAATTAATTGATGGTAAAAAATTCAAATTTTAAATGATACATGAAATTAATCCATGATTTCTACGAGTTGAAAAGAAAATGGAAAGGAAGATTGGGGTGTGAAAACTTACTCCGATATAGAAATCTTTGACGAGAACAGCATAGGCAGACCAAACACCACCATTGAGGAACAAGAAAAATGAGAGGAAAAAGGGCATGTACTCCACACTCTTTGTCCTAACCACATTTCTCTGCCATACATAGTTAAAGCCTCATCAATTACCATAGTATATGCTAACCATAAAGGGTTATGTTTTTCTTCTTGTTGCTATTATATGGTTTTCTTAATTTATCACATTCCGAGCATGAAAATATAAGGTACAAGTCGCATCATCTTTTTTTCAATATTAAAATTATTCCATTATAAAATAATAAGAATAAAATCGAACTGAAAAATGACGACAACTGAATTTAGACCAATTTGGCCAAAACTAAGAAAGATAAGAGTCTAACTCAAACGTGAGAAGTGCGCATTTTGATTTCCAGGTCATAAAAGAAAGAAACAAAGAGCTAATGGATTATGCTTTTTTCATACCTTTTATATGGAGGATGGAGTAATCTTTTTATTGCTAGTGTTGGAATGAGTTAGTTTTGCACTCACATCAACAACCTAAAAAATATATTAATTATAATATTTAAAAATTCCTCAAAAAAAGGAATTGATGTTGAAGTTCAATAATGAGTTATGGAACAAAGGCAAAAATGATAATGACAAATATGAACAAATATTAATCCTAATAAATTTACGTTAAGTAGACAAACACGGTAAAGTATATAACCTAGACTGAATTGAGAAAGATGAATCATACATAAATTTATCCCTGCAACACCAAATACTTGCACCATGTGCATGTTGATTTTAACCCATGTTTCATTTTCTCAATTTCTACACATCTTATGGCATGCTCTTCTCTTTTTTGCTTGCCAACAAATTTAATATGTTTACTGTCATGCTATGTTTGGGAGCACTGAATCAACGTCCTAAATTTGGAATTGGAGTGAACTTACTTAAAACTTTGAACTAAAGTTGTTATAATTCCAAATCAAAGTCCTTGATTCGGTATTCCCAAAACATATGGGAGAGGCACATTATTTAGTGTAGTTAGATATATGGTACGTTAAATTAATGATCAAAGTAATTCATGAAGTGGAAAGGCTCACCATGGCTGATAGAGGAGATGCATACATGCCTATAGTTAGTCCTGCACATATAATTCCCACGAAGGTAAGCCTCACATTGCCATGAATTGCAAGAAAAGCTACTGCTATCACCAACCCAAGAAACCCCACGTTGAATATTGCTACTAACTTCATAGCTTTAACCTGAAAACACATGAGCAAATTAGACTCATTATCAAAAGCTACAAAATTTTACCAGCATTGATCAAATAGTTACCTTTTTAAAGTAAAGCACGTGATTAACTTGATGTAACTGAACTTTCTAATCCGTCTTGTGAAAATCTCAACTAATTTTTTTGAGATTTTTGTTAGTGGCCGAATTAAACTCGAATTGAGTTGAAATTTGGTAGCTATTGTAATTTTGAGATTATGAAGTACTTATCTCTATTTTTAAAGAGTGACATAATGCACATTGAGGGTAATACTAGGAAAGAGGAAGACCAACTTACGTCAGAACATTAGTAAAAAATGATATGATAACATGTGGTTTGACCTATGGCCTTAGATAAGCGGAATGGAAATATATGATTCATTTAGGTGTAGTTGAATAAAATGCTTGTTGTTTTTGTTGTTGTTGTATTAACTTCTCTATTTTTTTTTCTCTCGTAATATTAGATACAGTGCCAAATCGGACTGCTTTGAAGATTCATTTTGTTTTTATGATTTCTTTTCTAATATAAATAGATTTACTGCAAAGCAGATTATACATTTCTTATATATCAATCATATTAGTTTTCTCATTTCTTAAACTTTGCGAATTCAAAATTATTTTATATTTATTTGTGAATTTTCACGAATCTCGTTTCGTCACAACTTAGACAGTCTATGAACTATAGATTTTTTTTTTTTTTTTTTTTAAGTGAAAGAAGATTGGGAATTCTATGAACTATAGGTTGTTAAACACTTTGATTAGTTGAGACTAATGAGCTAGCATGAAGTGACTAGTGTTTGGATTAACTATACAAATAAAAGCATATATAATAAATGGATGTGTTAGTAGGTTAAAAATAGAAGAAGATGGATTATTATTGTTACCTTTTTGTCCTTGGGAGCATAGATGAGAAACAGAGTGACATAGATGAACTGCAAGAAGGCACCGGCGCCATTGACTGTTACCACAAGCAAACCTCCTGGCTTAAGAAGTCCATAGAAACACCACAAACTTGTGCTCAACAAAGTAGTTATATATGGAAGTCCTTTATAATTCTCAGTTGATTTCTTCTTCACCACTCTCCTAAATGTCCCTCTATAACATATAGCATTAAATTTGTATTAACATTACAATTTTCTATAAATATCCAAAAATTAGAAAATGAGTCAATCAACAATACATGACAAACTTTCTCAAGGGTTAATTTGCTACATTTTTGGTTGGCACAATATACAAGTATCATCTATAGTACAAGTCAATTAATGGCAACAAACTACACATGTAAATGGTAATTAATTATTATTATTATTATTATTTTTAACTGAAGGCATCATAGCCTCTTGGTATTTCCTTTATCTTTCAAAGTGAGAGGTGTGGGTTCAAGTCCCGTAAGGACAAACAGGTGTGTGAGTTTCTTGTCAAGAAAAAAAAAAAAAAAACTTCAAAATTGGGCAAGAAATCTATTTGGCAAGATTGAATAGTTGTAGTTATATTATTTCAATGAAATCCATACTTTGATTTGGTCATTCATGACTATTTGACTGCCCCTAAAAGCTTTGAGACACAAAGTGTTACTAATTATTTTATGCTTACTTCATTATTAATATACATTAAATCTGAATAGAAAAACATCATCCATATGCTGCTTAATCAAGTTCTAAACACTTTCATAAGTAATATAAAGAAAGAAATATGACCATTTTATTATTCTAAAGTTGTACTTACATGGGAGAAGAAAAAACTAGCAAGGAGATCACGTTGCCTGCAACAAAAAAATCATTATAATTCACAATTGGGAACAATATATTCACAATCTATATATATATACACACACACACGCAGATAATATAGAAATATACAAAAAATCAAAGTTGAATAGGAATTAAAGACTGACCAATGATGCCAATGATGAAGCTGAAGCTAGCCATGGAACTAAAGAGAAGGCGTTGAGGGAATGTAAAAGCATGTGTAGGAAGGGATGGATGGGGGGGGGGGGGGGGGGGGGGTGAATGTAGTGGTGGTGAGATGATGTGATTTGAATCATGATTGTGATATCTTATTTGAATATCCACCGTTGGATGTTTGCCACGTCTCAATTATGGGTAGTTTGTCGCTTTCTTGTTAGATTAATGATGACATGTGGACCACCTTTGACACATGCTGATTTTTCTGTCCTCTACATTGCTTTAGGTTTCATTATTGTGTGCTTTACTTTGTGTGTCTTAGTGCGTTCGTTGAACCTTAGATTCTCTAGTAAAGGCGAAAGGACTTTTGTCTAGATTCGACAAAAATAGACCCCGGTCACGGAAGGTTGCAATCCTTTTAGTACTACGTGGCATGTTCATATAAAAAAGTCAGTTTTTTTTTTTTTTTTTTCAAAATGGCAATAGTATTTTTGAGATTATAACATACAAATAGTGCTAACGATCCATATATATTATTTAATGAAATTAAAATTTCATAGTTTTAAAAAAATAAAATTAATCAAAATATTGACATGAATATAAAAAAATATTGTTTATCCTTACTGAGTTATCACTTTTTGTGAATCAAGTATCACTTTTTGTCATTAGGTACCACTTTTATTTTAAACAAAAAGTGATATCCCATACACAAAAAGAAGTATCTATGTGCATAAAAAGTGGTACATATATGAATAAAAAGTGATACCCGCATGTACAAAAAGTAATACATATGTGCCTAAAAGTGATACTTCAGTAAGAGTAAATAATATATTTTTTTATATTTTTAGTTTTTCAAAACTATGTGACTTTGATTCTTTTAAATAATAAATATAAATCATTATTACCATTTATATGTAAATACTACCTGTGTCCCTAAATAGTAGTCCATGTTTAGAAATTGGAGTTTTTAAAGGTACATGCAACTAATGTATTGTCCTCCTTTTAAAATTACCAAATTGTCCTTTTTAATTTAAATATATATAGTTACAAAGTTTGAATTTTTTTTAAAAAATAAAGGACAATGATGGAAATATAATAAAAAAATATTTTAATTTTTTAAAAAGAACAACTAATTTGAGACATGTAAAAAAAAAAAAAAATAGACTATTAATTAAGGAAGGAGGGGGTAATACTTAATTTTTTTCATATTTTTTTTCACAATGGCATGTTAATATACTACGTAGAAACAAAGTTAATAGTACACAACCTAATAGTACTGATAGGAAAACTAAAGTTAAAAAGGGCATTCATGTGCAGTGGGTTGGTTCACGTCCCTTCTCACAGTACTTCATTTGAATTTTTTGAATTTTCTCGTTGGTAAATGATTGCACATTTAATTCTACACTCGTCGGTGAGTGGGGAATGACAATCTTATCTTTTTCAAATGTCCAGATCACCCCACCCCTACCATCTTAAGTTTGAGTTTTTTTTTTTTTATTAAATAAAGTGTTGTAAAATCATTTGCACCTGCAAAGGAGTTCATTCCTGTCATTTATATATATATATATATATTTGATTGTGATAGAAATAGTATCTCCGATTCTCCATTCTTATTTACGTGGCTGCCGTTGAAGCCTAATTGTAGAATAAAAAAAATTGCGACATCTTAATTGAAGAAGGATAAAATAGATTAAACCTATGCCTACTTTTGGTTCTCTCTTTGCTAAAACAGGATTTAGGCAAGTAATGTAGCATGTTAAACTTAACATGGTGTACATGATGTTTCTCTGTCGGAGTGAAATAGAATCTATATAAAACTATTGAAGTTCACAATAAGAGCACGCAATGGAGGCAATGTTGTTTTGCTATAAGAAAATGGCAAATTTTGTTTCAATTCAATTACATGCCATTTGTAATTGTGTGCTTAATTTCATACATATGCAAGTATAGAATTATTTTTTTCCTTATGAATACAGCTATTTCAAAAAAATGTATATAGGATGGATTTGTGATACGTGGTTTGAATTTTTTTTCCAATGACACGACATTGTATCTCACGGATGAGGAGCTTTCGGTTTGATTCGGCTCCCCATTTGTTTTCTAACTTCCGGAAAGAAAATCATTTTTCTTTTTATATAGATGATGAGTTCGAGAACTCCCCATTAATTTCTATCATTAAAAAACATCACCCAACAAGAAAAAAAAAAAAAATAATTATTGCTTAATTAACACCCCAAAAATACTTCCTATAATGACATAATCTATAAAGTATTCTCAAGTCATATAATCCTTTTAAAAGTGCGAGTCTCACACTACCTGACAATTAGTGATGATGTAATAAATCATCTAAATTATATATATTTCTTCTAAAATCAAATAAAGAATTATCTATTTACCTCCCATTTTCAACATCATTTTCCTTGGGCAATACGGAGTGCAATTCATGTGAAGTCTAAGAAAGTGTTTAATTTTTGAAAATTGTTCAATCTAATGTAATATAGAATTGAAATTGATTTTTTTTAATATTGGAACTGACTTTTTGTACATCATATATCAACTAGTAGATGAAGTGTACATATCATTGCACGAGATTTTCGAAATTGTAGAGTCATGTTTAGATGCAATCAGTAGTCTTATCACGAGAGATTGTTTCTTGACTCGAGATCGTTATTAAACTTAAAAATATGAGATGAAGATACTAAAGATTGGTTGATAACATTCCGTGATGATGAATATATATTGGTCGTATTCAAGTTCAAAGTGAAGGTATTGATTTGTGTGTGTGCGCTTTGGGTTGGGGAAGAAAAGAACCAAACTACAAGTGACTGAAACTCACTTCATTTGTTTCACCTACTAGTGAGTAACCGTGGATTATCGGAGTGCTTTATCAATTAAAAACAGAAAAGAATTTGGAGCATATTTGATTTGTAACTATGAAAATAGTTTTCTATTTTTCAGAAAACTGAAAACTAAAAACGATATAAAAAATTCTGCTTGGTTCAGTTTTTTAAAAACTGTTTTATCAAAACTCATTTATAAAAATATCTGTTTCTAGAGAATATTTTCTGTTTTCTAAATTTTTGAAAATTGTTTTTAGAGTTACAAACTAAACAGACTCTCCATTATATAATTTCAAAGATATTCTTCATATATATGAGATAAGTCTTATTATTATTATTATTTTTTTTTTTTAAGTTTAGTGATTAGTTTAATCACCTAATTTGAGTTAAAGATCTAACCTTGTGACCAAGTAACAAGTGCCTTTAATTTTATTTTTCCATCACACTTGTTTAATTATGTGACCAAAACAAAATTTTGGTCCTCCACTGATAAAATTCAGAAGTAACAATATTTAGCTTTACTACTTACTTTTTAAATGAACTAATTAATTCTCCAAATTATTTGAAATTTTCATTTTATTTAACCAAATTTAACAATTACAAAAGAATTAAATTAAATAGATGATTAGTTCTCATTACAATTAAATTGATGAAGCATGCATGATTATTAGTTGCTAGAGGGCCTGCATGCATATCATGCTTCCAAAATCAAGGGTGAATATTCATGGCACTTCCATTTTCAACATGTCTTGATTGAGATGGACTCATAGTTAGTGTCCTCATGAATTTCCGAGTGCTGGTGTTTCGCGACATAGATGGCTCGGGTTGGCTTGTGACATTATTAATGTTGAGGCTCTGAGTTTTTCTCTTGTCTTCGTCGTCGTCTTCGTCAAAATCTTGCAATTTGATGCCTTCTTTAGTTATGCGAGCTGAGCCTTCTTCCATTGTGTACTCCATTGATTTTTCTGGTACTGGTGACTTATTCTTGTAGATGATATAGATGATCAGCTGGCATGCGCCTAACACAATTCCAACTGCATTTGGTACCTGAAATCACAATATATATATATATAGATAGATATATCAACAGTTGGATATTTTGTTTATGTTATGTTTTTGCATAGCATTCTTATATATTTCTTATGGTATGGGTAGAAAAAATGTTGTTTAGACAACCTTAAATAACCAACTATTAAATGGACGTGTTATACTAGAAATTAAACAAATATTAGTTTGTATTGCAATTTTCAGTTTTTATAAGTAGTCACTTTAATTCAAGTTGTTTCTATTAATATTTGCATTTCTATTGAGTTACTATAAATGGGGATTATAACGCAAGTCTACTAATTTTTTAATTTTTTTTTTAAAAAAAAACCCAAGCTTGTTCCATTAATGTTATAATTTTCAGGTTTCAGAAATTTTATTTCTGCAAATTATTAGGTCAAGATTTGATTTTTGGCATTCATTAAAAAACTACCCAAATCATGTTTGTTGAAAAGAAAATGGATGAGAGTGAAGAAATTAAATAGAGAAAACTTACAAGCACATAATAGTCTTTGAGGATCAATGCAAAAGTAAACCAAACCCCAGCATTGAGGAACAGGAAAAATGTGAGGAGAAATGGCATGTACTCTACACTCTTCGTCTTTATAACAATTCTCTGTTAAAAATTAAAAAAAAGAACAATTTTAAATTATTACTCAAAATATTAAAGTTGAATGAAATGATGACTTTAAAATCAATTAATAGAACATAATGAGATGAAATAGGTTAATTACCATGACTGATAGAGGTGCTGCATACATGCCTATGGTGACTGTTGCACACAGAACTCCGATCAAAGTACGCCGCGCTCCTCCTTCCAACACTACAAGAGTTATGACAATTACTGGTCCAAGAAACAACAAATTCAACACTGCCAACAAACCTAGAGATTTAACCTGACAAAAAAAAAAAAAAAAAACACATTGGCAAGTGATTTTCTAACATTAATAGCATTGTTAGAAATTGGACATGAATTTCAAAAACTATATATGACTAACTTAAACATTTCAAAGTTGAATTTAGACATGAAGCACCATTTGAGAGAGAGAGAGAGAGAGAGAGAGTTTTACCTTTTTATCCTTGGGAGCATATATTAGATATATAGTGACATAGATGAGCTGTGAAACAATACCAACACTGTTTACTGTTATAATCAGAAAACCGTCATCTGGGTCAAGAAATCCATAGAAAGTCCACAAACTTGTGCTCAATAGTGTAGTTATATATGGAAGTCCATCATAGTTCTCCACTGATTTCTTCTTTATCACTTGACAAAATGTTCCCCTAAAATACCCATTTATATATATATATATATATATATATATATATATATGTAATTAGGATTAAGATTAATTGGTAAATCATAAAGAAATTAATGAAATAATTAATAGTACACCCGAGCTTAATTATAGACCAATTAAATTATGCATACCAATCCAAGTTTGAGTATCAAATTTTGTTGCTTATTATTTATTATAAGCTAGAGTTCTACAGTTTCAGCAACATAAAACTCTTCTTGGTTAGTGTCGGATTCAAGCCCTGCCATGAGTTATTTGTGAAGTGTGTGTGAGTATTTACCTAATAATATACATATACGCGCGTGTGTATATATATATATATATATATATATATAACTATAGCATTTACTTATTTAAAGGTAAACTTACATTGGAGAAGCAAAAACAAGTATTGTCATTATATTGCCTGCAGAAAATAATGATGCAAAACATTTAAAAAAAAATTTATTCGAAAATATATATCTGATATTAGAGAATGAGGTATTGAAATTTCATAAGAGTGATGAGAGAAAAACCTAAAATGCCCATGATTAAATCAGAGGTGGCCATGGAATTAAAGTGAGGTTATTGAAGGATTGAAGTAAATATTGATGGTGGAGAACCAAAAATAGGAAGATGTTGGTGCCTATGTGGTATTGGTGACAATGAAAGTTAAGTGATGGTTTTATAGGGTTCCCAATGAATACCACTTGTTGGATGTTTATCACATAATAATAATAATTATTATTATTAGTATTAGTATTTTTTTCGAAGTTATTATTATTATTATTATTATTATTAATGGGAGTTTGTACTGATTTTGATTCCAGTTTAAGTAGCCAAGTACTCTTAATGTTCTTAATTTTGCCTTTTTAAGTAGTTTTGCATTTGTTACAAGAGTAAGTTTTGTCTTCCAAAACAACAGGACAAGGACAGTAAAATACTTTAATACACACATATATAATCTTAAAAAAATGATCTTTGTACCGACAAGGGATCGATCAACATGTTTCACTTGTTTTCCCAAACTGTTTCTCCAATCTTGTCTAAGTAGCAGATGTTGGTCCACAGAGTAATTGAGTGGATTATCTATGTGTGAAGTTTTTGACTAAGTATATGAAGCATGTAATGTTTTCCTACAATACAAAGAAAAGAATAAGATTCTAAAGAGATTTTTTAATTGGGTGAGATGCTCAATTCCATCTTGCCACCTCACCTACTGATATTTAAGTAATGATTTACATACCTAAATTTTTCTTACTTTTATTAAATTAAATAAGAGTTTAAATAAATTTGTATTGAATAAATATTTTGTCTTTTTAATATAAACAATAAAAATAATAAATAAACAATTTTGTAGGACAATTAGAGAGCGATATAGATTATTATACTATTATTATAAAAATTTATGCATAAACAAAATTTTATTTTAGAGATAAAGGGGTATAATTGTAAGTTTACAATTTCTTGTCTTTTTTGTATGACAATTTTTAGGAAAAATTAGGTGACTATAGTAAGTTATTTTCTCATAAAAATTTCATTACTATCCAAATTCTTACAAGATTAAAATAATTTTTATTTATTTCTCTTTCTTGTTATTTTCATCTAACTAAACTAAGTCTCGATTTTTTTTTTTCTACATGAATTCAGCAAGTTATATACAAAAAGAGGGTGATTTAAATGATTTTTATATCCAGTCTCGTAAAACAATGAGTAGCTCTATTTGGAAAATAAATATGAAGGACATGAGAATAAATTTTAGAAATAAAAGAAATCTTTAATTTTTTTACAAGTTTTCCAACTTGTCAGCAAATAAAATTTTGCTAACACGATTCCTTTCTTTACTTTCCTTTTCCCTTTTCCCTTTTCCTTTTCCTTTTCCTTTTCCTTTTCCTCGCAGTAATTTTAATTGAGGGCCCAAACACGGCTTTGTGTAAACCTGGAACACCCTTTATGGGACAAGTCGAATTGTGCAGTGCATAGCTTGATAACTACGCAGCACGGGTAATTAGTGAATCCATTTTGTTCCAAATCCGCTTCAGAAAATCCCTCTAAATTGTTCCTCTCTCAATCACTCAAAATGTTCAAGAAGTAAGTTCTACCTCTTCTTCCTCTCTCTAGAATTTCACATTCACGTGTTGATGACATTGTTTTTTCTCCATTCTCCCAGTTTTTGCTTGGGTCTTGGATTTATTATATTTTCGCTATTGAATGTTTTTTTGTTTGCTTTATGATATTCTTCAATGATTTGGTTCAAAACCCATATATGTTATTTGTTTATGTTTAGTTCTCTGATTGTATTTTATTTTATTTTTTTTCAAAATTTAGTGCTCTGATTGTTTGCTAAGAAAATAAGTAACCTTCACTGGTGCCTTAATTTATTATCAGGATTGATTGAGTTTAGGTATTTCAATATTTGGAATTCCAGAAACAATACAAGATGAAAGGTTTATACATTTTATTTTTCTAAACAAAATAAAGGTTATATAAGAGAGATGGGAGTTGGAAGTATAGTTTGGGACTTTGATTTTTAGGGTTCCAATTGTTGGTGATTTTGTAGTAAATCTTGGGCATTTTACTGGTTTGTTAGATTTTAGTACTATACAGCCGAAGGAAGTTTTGGGCATAGACAAAATAAGTTTGGCATGGCCAAGAGGCAAGAACCCATAGCAGGTACTTAAGAACATAGGTCGAAATGGATGAGAGAAGAGGGTGAATGAGAGGGAATACCATTAATTGCCACACTAACCAAAGAAAGAAATCTCAAATGCTGATTTGTTTTGTGATGCTCATCTCTCTACAGTATTGCATTCGCTTAAGTCATGGTAAAAACAGTCGATTCTCATGCATTAAACCTCCGGTTAGAGCAGTATAACTACGCTGGCAATCACTCTTTACATAGACTTTTACTAGTGGCATTATGACACTATAATTCTGGGTTGGAAGTAAATGAACCAATCATGTACTGTTAAATAAAGTTATTGCTGTTCCTAGGGCTGGAAGATGGAAAGCTAAACATAGTCCTAAAAACTATGAAGCGTGAAGGCTTTTAAGAGGAGTGGGGCATATCCAATGTCGGATACCAACACTCCAATACTTTGTAAACGCATCCATAATTTTTATTTTTTAAAAATTATTTCTTTTTTCAACCATGTATCTGATACTTCTCTAATACTTCAACCACATATATGATACTTCTAGGATACATTGATCACATATTTAACAAATTTCGAACATTAAAATGTAACTTTTACAACTATAATATCATAATATAATTGTTAAGAAAAGTTCGGAATTTCTTCAAAAAAGAGGTATTGAGATACATATCATGACTAATTTATTCATTGCTATACATATGTACATTAATATAATATATATTTACGCGAAGTGTCCTTGCCATAACTATATTCTATTTTAAAAGAATTTGTAGTATTGTGATGTCAGTATAGGGCCATGTCTGTATTTCGTATCTATCTACATGCTTCATAACCTGGCAATCAATCACTCAACTCATAAATTGATCTAAAGCAAAATATACTTTGTAAGTCCTAAACTATGGCAACCTTGCTATCTGATAGCCCTCTCTAATACGTAAAAAATGAATAGTGGAAGTATTGTTGTGTCATTCACCCATCATCTTGTACTCTCGAAACCCTTCATCCTTGTACCATGTCTTTGCTTTCAGACCTAACCATCTTCTTGATACTAGATCTCTTTTCACCCCCTGTATATTTTAATGTTGTTCTATTCTTAATACCTATTTGAGGACCCTTCGGAGTTTGGATCAGTGTCTTCGGTGTGTTGAATCTTATTCACTTTCCATCACATCCACCTTATCAAAATCCTCTTCGGACTTGGCCATAAATTCAACAACTTTCGCAGAGGCTTGCTTATCTAAAATTTGACTATTTTTCTCCACTAGTTGATAATTGTTACTTATATTTTCTTCTAGATAATCAGATTCATCCCCGTCCAGGATTGAATCGGTTTCTTTTACTATCAGGCCAAACTTGTTGAAACCCCTAGTTTTTGCAGTTTTCTTTATCCTTGACGAAACTTAAAATAAATAAACTAATTCGTTTTATTTATCCTTGGCAAAACGTAAAAATCATTCTCTTCCTTTCCCAATACAGTGGCTTTGTTACCACTCACTTTTCTAGTTTACCATCTTGCTTAAATTAAATCTTTCCACTCTCCTACAAGCATTTTATTTTTTCATAGAGACATCCATTCTCTACACTCCCTCCAGTGATCAGAACTAATTCGTTTTCTGACATTTTGAAATGGCCTTTATTGGCATCATCAGTTTGTCCAACACCTTGACCTGTTATTCTTGTTCTATGAGCAGTATTTTGAGCTTCACATGGTTTCGGTACTAGGTCTATCTGCTTAATTCAAATTGTAAATTCAAATTATGTGTTAACAATGAACAATCAACCTTCTCAACCTTGCATTGTGGAACTTTAATACCTCATGTATTCTCTAAATTTCACGACACGTACTTTGCAGTTTCATGAAGATCATATAGTCGAGTCAATTCTCCTCTGCTTAGGGGATCCAAGCGTACTCTCCACAAACTGTACCATTCATTTGTAGGTGAAATTATTGCCAACTTTTCCTGAAATAATTAAGGACCACAGTTGGTGTATATCATTCACAGTTCTTTTGGCTTTAACAATTTGATGGAGATTTTTTATTTTGTTTTGTTACTAGCTGACATTTTGTCATTTTAGCATATTTGTCGTGTCACATTCCATACAACTTGCTTATTGTGATATTATCCATGAATAACTTTCAATAATGACCACACTAAAATCCGTTGTAGCCACTTTAAAAAAGTGAAAAATAATGACTGCACTAAAAATTGAATCTCTCGATACAGATACATCAATTACCATTTTTATGCCACTCAAATCAATCTAACCTTCTTTTCATGCATTTCTCTCTTCATGTCAGTACAAATATGCAATTCCAAGATATTACAAACATGAAACAACTTCCAAGCCTCAGAACTGAACTTAGTTTGGTGCTGTGGGACAAGTGATTATCAACACTTTCCTACAAGCTATGACATTAACTTTGATGTGGACATCGGGGATGAGTGGTTTTCGGGACTGTTTGTTGGTTTGACTAAAGGTTGGTGGAGGCATTAAGTTTAGGGTTTTTTAAAAAGGTGTAGTGAATGTAAGAATTTTGGACTTCATTTAGCTAAAAGAATAGGAATTATGGGGGTGCTTTCGGTGCTTCTGATATATATATATATTTTAAATGATTTCTGGAATTGAAAGAATACGTAGATATATAGGTTGTGTGGATTGTGGGTGATGGAAGAACTACAAGTAAAATGGAGTTCCAATGGTATAGGGAAGTGGCATTAATGTAAGAAATCAAGGATCTGAAGATCACATATGAGTCTTTCTTGCTAAAATAACGTGTCTTAGTGTGCCTTGATATATGTAGGCCGCGAGAAAGACAACTTGGTGAACTTAGGCTTCAGCTGAGCTTAAAGAGTTCCTTGATAGGCGGAGTAAGGTAAATATCATTTTGAGAAAATTGACTATGCGGTTAAAGAGTGCGCAGTTGAACCACATACGGATATAGAGCCATGCAATTAGAGTGCGTAATGATCGATCTAGGATTTCCTTGCATGAAGTCAAATAATTTGTTGTGGTGGAGATAGCCCTTGCTTTCCCATTTGTTGAATCCGACGTTAACACACCACACTTGTTGACCATAGAATTGACGTGCATGAAGATCCAACATGCATCATGATTTAATGGAACATGTGCTTCATTTGGCTGTGTCCACATGCCAATTGGGGAATAGAGAATTGTCTCTTGGAAGAGTGCCATGTGGTTAGTTGTATGACTGTCACATGATCATTGTGACGTTGTCATGTGGCCAAATGCGAAGTCCTATGTAGGCTACCACTTTGGAGACACGTGTAGACATCCCATTTTGCCCTTAACTCTCATAGACCACCCTAACCAGGACGACTAGGATTTAAATAGTAAAGTTGGAACCTTAACCACCATGTTCAATTATTTAATTTATTGGATTTGTTTTCAAAATTCAGTTTTCACCGTCTATTTGCAAACATCAAGACAGCTAAACTCCAAACTGGTATGTGTTCTGAAGAGGCCTTACACTCCTACCTAGGATAACATTAGGTCCCTTTATGAGTACAAATATTGACTTTTTCAAAACTAACATTGAGCTACTATTTGAAGACCTCTGATGGTCAAAATAACATAATTTCCACTTTTCATATGAAATGACATTTAGGCCATCACAGGCCCAAAGACCTGACTTTCTAGTATTTAGTTTTGATGCCTATTTGAATATCTAGAGACATCCAGGCATTGACAGAAGCTAGTTCTGAACTTGCCCCACCATCCTCGCGAAATATTCTTCTCATCTGCCAGTTAAGTGCTTGACTTTGCACCCTCTAGCTTCAAATGCTCATTTGAAGGCATGCACAATTTTTTTTTTGTTGGGCAGTTGGCTTCAGAAATCTTCCTTAGTGTCTCGAATATTATTTTTTGAGTGTCATTTTTCTTTCTCTACCTTGTACCCTTTGCTAAGCCTGGGCTTGGCTCACCTGCTACATCTACCAATCGGCTATCGTAGCAAGCAACTCCAACGCCATCCCTATCGAAACCCTTTGTAGCTTAGATGCAGCAAAATCGAAGTAAATATTATGTGTTGGTGCCATGCCTGCTTTATTTGCGTGTTTAATATTATGTGTTGGTGCCATGCCTGCTTTATTTGTATGTTTATTCTTGGTTAATGCTGGCTTTTTGTTAGCAATCCATAAGTGATTAAGGTCTTTACTGCATGAAGGTCAATGCTTGGAGGGCCACATTCGTAGTGAGTCTGTTGTTTTATCTATTCTGTGATATTTGAAGTGGAAATACTGTACTTTTCCTATTGTAAGAATTTTTTGTGCATAATGCTAAGCTTGGGATCTTGTTGTATGCTAGCTTTCATTGATGGACATATTTATTGAATTTTGCCAGCTACTCTACCTACCTAGCGCTCCCTTCAATTTTGTATACTGTTTTTTTGTTTTTTTTTTTTTTTTTTTTTTTTTTTTTTTTTTTTAATATATATTTAACTATAGATTTATATTTATTGAATTTACTTTAGAATTTAATGTTTTTTAACAAAAATATTTTGTAGGTTCTCTTCCGAAGATGTGTCTGCACATAATCAAGTCAAGGCATCTGTGCAACGAAAAATTCGGCAAAGTATTGCAGAAGAGGTTTCAATTACTAGTAGCAATTCTATTTTCTTTATTCTTGTTCACTTTATAAATGAGAGCTTTTAGTCTGGAATTATTTGGTATTTGATACATCTTTGCTTCTGTTGCAGTACCCAGGACTGGAACCAGTATTGGAGGATTTGCTTCCAAAAAAGTCCCCTCTCATTGTTGTGAAATGGTTCTCAATGATTTATTTGCTTTGATGTTTTCTCTACTGCTTCCAAATTTTATTGTATTTGATATTTACCTGTAATTTTTCACAGTGGTATACTTTAATAATATCTTAATTATGCTTTTGACAAACTTTTTTTTTTTCCCTGTCTTTTTAGTCAAAACCATCTAAATATGGTCGTGGTTAACAACGTGCCTCTGTTTTTCAATGTACGTGATGGACCTTATATGCCTACACTTCGACTTCTTCATCAATGTAAGTATTGTTTGATGGTTTATGTCTTGCCTTATTTATGCAACATCATCTCAAAGTGTCTGTGTGTATGTTTCCACATGCACTGGCGTGTGTTTAAATTGATTCTTGTGGTTTTTATGTTATGATGCGATGCATTCTCTGGATTATTTTTTCTACTCTCATGTGATAATTATAAACTTGCAAAAGAATTAAAAAAAAAAAAAAAAAGGGGGTGGGGGGAGGGGGTTGAGAAAGAAGAAGAAAAAGTACCAACATTTTTATAAAAATAAGAGTTGTACATAAAGAGTCTTGAACTTGTAAGAGTGGTCCTCTTAATTTACCTCTTTTTTTTTTTTTGGTAGGAAAAAAAATTGCAGTTGTAAGTAAAGAGTCTTGAACTTATAAGATCGATGCGAGGACTCGACTCCTAAACATGCATTTCCCTTCTATGATTGATATATTGATTATAAACACTAATAGATTAATGCAACTATACAATATCAACACATAAATAAATGTGTATGGACAAAATCAGGCATTACATGGGGGCGTGATTCTTTTATATGTATGGTTGGGCAGCATTTAAGAACTATGATAGTAGCAGTCCCTTGACTCGAACTAAGGGTAGGGGCCGCTATTGATGAGGTATATAAGAGGGTGTGAGAACTGGAAAAAGAAAATAAGGTGCTACTGTTATGGGATATGTTGGTGCAGGTGCAGTAGATAAAATATGTAGCAAATGTGTGAATTACAATATAATATTTGATAAAGTAGTACAATGATGGAAACTGGTCAGCAAGGAATCAACCTAACATTCATCGTCAATTATAATTAAAAGGGATGGCACGAGCTGGGAGTCTTTCTACTATGAAGGGATATGAGGTTTGGAAGTAGGAACAGTTACAAGTTGACTCGTCAATATCTGACATGTCTTTGACAGAGTATGTCTTAGATGCTTCCAGACAAATACCCTACATGATCTGGATATGTCTAGTTAAAATTAAAATTTTAATTTTAGTTTCGGGAAAATGCGCTCTTCTTATTGAACACTACCGATTTGTGATGTATGAAACTCGGACGTTGGATTTGACTTTCTTGTAGCATGGAAAAATGTACAATTGCAAGAAAATATAAATGCAAGGCTTTTATTTAAAAAAACATGATATAGGAACTTTTTATCAATTAAGTTATATGACTAGGAGAAGATTCGTCTTAATTTTATATGTACATATACATGTATATATCCACATGCAATCGGACATACACATGCTATGTCCTGTTTATTTTCATTGTGACAGGGAAATAATTGATTATTACTTATAAAAAAAAATGATTATTATGATTCATATATTATAAATTTAGTAGTCATTGAATATTAGATTTAGCTGTCAACTATCATAAAATAGTGTTCTACATAATATATTTTTTATATTTATTTGTTGTTGTGACTTCACCATCTCCGTGACCAACTTCTTTAAGAGTTGTCGTGTTGTCCATGCTTCATAGTGTCCCTGTCCCAAACCTGCCTGGTTGCTCACTTTCATACCATTGTCCAAACCGTAGCTCCATATTAATTTTTCATTGAAAGAAATCTGATATTTATCGTACATTTCTACATGACAAAGATGGAAAGTTTATTTAATACAACAGTGTGCTTGGCAAAATATGAGTCCTACAGAAAGTTGTTGACACATGAAAGGTGTAAGAATAGGTATGTCTTGTATCAAATCTGTGTCTAGCTTTTCTGTCCATGCAAAACAGCATAGAGAGGTATTTTGAAGCTCTTCCCAGATGAATAAAGGACTTCACAAGATTTTGTTTTAGGGGTGGGATGCCTTCTATGATGTTTAGGTTTGTGAAGACGTTATTAAGATTAGAAGTTCTTCAGTTATTTATTTCATTGCCCACAATTTTCCATCTTTTGAGTGAACCAGATCCTTTTGAAATCTAATTCTTAAAATTCTATATGTATGCCATGCATTTATCTCTTTTGCAATTTTCAGATCCGAATATAATGAAAAAACTGCAAGTTGATAGGGGTGCAATAAAATTTGTCCTTGCTGGTGCTAACATAATGTGTCCTGGGCTTACTTCTCCTGGTGGTGTCTTGGATGATGAAGTGGCTGAAGAAACTCCCGTGGTACGAATTATAACCACTACCATATCATACTGCTGTACTTACAATTTGTTTTATAAAGTTATTGTGTTATTGTGATATAGTGCCATTATTGGAGTATTAGTTCCTTTCCTGTTCTAATATGTTCTTAAAATAGTATGGGATGAAATTGTTGTAGTTCATTTTACCACTTCATTGTCTGATGTAGACCTAAATTTTATCAGGCCATCATGGCTGAAGGAAAGCAACATGCCCTTGCTATTGGTTTTACAAAAATGTCAGCAAAAGATATGTAAGTACCTTCATTTATAAATAGTTGATATTTTCTGATTTATCATAAATTACCTTCTTGGTGGACATTGTTCATTATGCTCCTCAAATATACATGAATTAGTTTTTTTTTTTTTTTTTCATTATCATTTAAACAAGGTTAACATTTTCTTTGGTGACTTAAATAAGGAACAATTTGTCTTTACAAGACCATATATCCAGGATTTTTTTCCCCCGATAAGTAATACTAAACATCAAGGATTATGATTAAAATTCTATTAGAAAAGAATTTCATTAAGGTGATGGCATAAGCACATCATCAGCTCATCCTGTTAAAGATTCTTTAGTTTAGTGGTTTCACGTGATTAATTGCAATAGAAATTTCAAAAATGGAACTAACAGCTTGTGGATTTTATTAATATCTTCTTCATTTTGCATGTATGACTTCGTTCTCCTTCAATACCGATTAAATCATGTACGATGTAAATATATGCTTCTTTGTAACCACATAAATAATTTCCTCATTGCAGAAGGGCAATCAACAAGGGAATTGGTGTGGATAACATGCATTATCTTAATGATGGCCTTTGGAAGGTATTTCATGCTCAATCCTTTTGCCTCTTTTTTACTATTATTTTTTATTTAATTCATTGCTTATTTGTTTCTCTTGAAGCGTTCAATTTCCTTTTTCTTTTTAATAGATTGCTTAACAAGCATGTTCATAGTGTGTGAAAGACACTTGGTGTCCTTTGGGATGTCTTTTCATTTATTCAGACATGTTTGTGTATCATATTGGATATTATTCACAAGGTATCCCTAGAAACAGTGCAATTCATGAATATTTCACCTCTCTGAGTAACTTGTGTCTTCATTTGTAGATGGAGCGTCTAGATTGAATAGGTGCCTTGAGCAACTGCAGTACAATTCGTGCAATATAAAGAAGAAGATATCGCCGGAAATATATTCTCATCCTCGTGCAACAGTTTTCGAGCTAAAGGATTTCCACCCGGTCCTTTCCTCATCCTTTTTCTACAAGCAACATTTTCTCTTTCCGTTCCTTCATTTTTATATGGAGGGCACTTGACAATCATTCAAGTTGAGTTTCTGGGTATTTTGTGTTACATTCAATATGTAAGATACTAAGCATTTGAACCATATGGGTAATGAAATTTGATAGTTCAAACTGGATTTTGTTTATCTTGTAAATTGGTCCAGTCTTGATATAATTTGTTAGAAGCAATGCAATTACCTAACTTTACTTACAGAATCCGTACACCAGTTTCATCAAGGTTGGATATAGAATCCGAAATTCGGGCTGACTGTGTTATGTGAGTGGGAACATAAAAACAGTCGGATGCGTCTTATTTTCGGACAGTGTATCACTGAATCATTACTTTTATAAAAAAGGGTATACAGAAACAAAGTCATAGTGATTACATCTTTGTTCATTTGATGTCACATTGATAGTGTTGCAACCATTTCATGTGTTGTAAATTGACTTTAAATTTCTCATTCCTTACACAACTTTTGAGTTGAGTTTGGAATTTGGAAGTAAATAATTTCAGCGGCCAAAATAAAAAGTGAATAATTTATTATGAGCCAAAGAAATAAAATTTGCAAAATGGAACAGTGAAAACCCTTTAATTGTTAAACACAATTCAACTCATTTAATTCATTTAATTGATTTTAAACTTGTTCTTGAAATTAAATTCGAATTTAAACTCAATCTGAGATTAAGATTCAGATTATTATTGAGATGGATAAAAACTGATTATAAATCTGAATAAGTTACAAATAATCTTTGTTCTTGTGAGTAAGAGTTGAGTAAAAAGTACAAGTTCTTTAAGTTTGATGTATATATTTGGCAAATAAATATATATATATATATATATTTCGAGTCCAATTTCACGATTATTAAAGCCGAGACATGGGCTGAGCCCAACCCAACTACTTAGAGGTATTGGACCCATCATCAGACGAAACACGTGTACGTCCTGAGATTTAGATCCATGAGAGACAATAGACCTCAGAAACAGAAAGTAGTCCTCTAAATTCTCTAAAAACCCTAATCGCATTTGGCTGCAGAGCGTCGTCACAGAGACCAGTGCACCTCTTTCATCGATAATCGAGGAGGCAGGCGCAGCTACAACAACTACTCATCAACAATGGTTCTCTCTCTCTCTCTCTCTCTCTCTCTCTCTCTATACGTATATACCTTATCTATATGTATCTATTCTCTCTTTCTCTGTCTAAAACTTCATTCATTTTCACTTCCAAAAGGGGATCGATCTTGTCGCTGGTGGGAAGAGCAAGAAGACCAAGCGTACAGCACCCAAATCTGATGATATTTACCTCAAACTTCTCGTTAAGGTCTGAATAATCTTCTTCCTCTCACTATATATATGTATATATAGATATATATTATTGATGGCTTGAATTGATGGTTGTATCATGAACAGTTGTACCGTTTTCTGGTGCGGAGGACTGGAAGCAAGTTCAACGCAGTGATACTGAAGCGTCTGTTCATGAGCAAGGTCAACAAGGCTCCACTTTCTCTGTCGAGATTGATCCGCTTCACAAAGGGAAAGGTCAGTGATTGTCTCTGTACATGAGATTTTTGTTTTTGAATTGTGGATTTGTTTGAATTCTGTGTGGTTTGATGTGTTTAGGAGGGAAAAATTGCTGTGGTTGTGGGGACTGTTACTGATGATATTCGGATTGACAAAGTTCCGGCGTTGAAGGTGACTGCGCTGCGGTTTACTGAAACCGCAAGGGCGAGGATTGAGAAGGCTGGCGGAGAGTGCCTGACGTTTGACCAGCTTGCTCTCAGAGCTCCACTGGGACAGAACACGGTATTGGGTTCTAACACCATTACTTGTTTTGGTTGTTAAATTTTAATGCTTTCTAATTGAGTGATTGGTGTGTTTCTAAATCTGTCATGAACTAGTTGTGACTAGTTTGATGAATTGATTGTTTGAACTGTCTTGTGTAGGGTATACATAGTGTTAGCACTGTATAGATCTGAAAAGATTATACTAGAAACAGTGCAGCTTTGTGCAAAGTTGAAAAGTTTTTTTGTTATCTATTAATTGCTTGTCATATGCTCAGCTAATTATTTTTTGTTATCTATTAATTGTTTGTCATATGCTCAGCTCATTATAAGTATTAGCTGGACATAGTTAGCAATTGTTTATATAAAATTGCTAGTGTATCACCTTAAATTTTTTAAAATGGAAATGCTTTGGAAGTGACTTATGTGGGTTTGTCTATTCAGAATGAAATGAATTTGAATTGGTTAATTAAAATATATTTAAAACTGTAATTTTGATGTCGCAATAATAGGTTTTTAGAGTTGGCAGTCTGGTACAACAGGTATATGTATCTAATCTAGCAATTCGTGTTGGCGGTCTGGCAATTCGTGTTGGCGGTCATAACCGTGTCGAGTCCACCTATGAGTATTCTGCCAAATAGGTCAATCTGAACATGACCCGACGACTCGTTTAAGGGACCCTCAACATGATCACAACCCGTTTATTAAATGGGTGACAGAATATTACCTGTGTAACTTGTCTAATAAACGGGTCAAGTAATGACACAACTCGTTTCACTATCTATATAACCCGCTGAACTTAAATGGGCCATATGACCCATTTATCAACTCAAGTATAAACTAGGGCTGGGCAAAAAATTTGTGAATCCGTGAATCCGATCCGATCCGATCTGATCCTTACGGATCGGATCAGATTGCTAAACCCACGGATCGGTGGTGGGTTCAAAAAATGTGAATCCGTAGTTCACGGATCAGATTACGGATTATCCTGTCAAAAATTCGATCCGATCCGTGGCTAATCCGTATATATATATATATATATATATATATATATTATACAATATAATTAATTATTTATTACTTTGGGAGTTGACCAGTGGATCACCGACAGATTTGTAGAGCAAAGAGAAATCAGAAAAACAATTCATTAAGCACACATAGCTATTAGCCTAGCTATTAGCTTCATCTTTTCAGTGTTAGAACAAGTCCCTAGGAATTGAATCTGATATAATCTTTAAGCATCTGGATCTAAAATAAGCATCTGGAGACCACAGTGTTGCTTGGAATTGAACAAGTCCTCTCTCGAGAGGGAGATCACAGCGAACCAAGGTCACATGGCTAGTGAAGAGTCCGTCGCATCGGTTTGAATTTCTTTCGGATTTAGGGTTCGGTTGCGACCGAAGAAATCAGAGACTACCAACAGTTGATTGTTCTTGTTCTCGTTGATGATGAATCGATGAGATTGAGAATGATTTGAAGAAGAAAATCAATGTGATGGAAAGGTCTGGGTCTCATTTGGTGATGATGATGATGATGAGAGAGAGTCGAAGAAGAAAGAATGACCCTAAGAAGAGATCGGAGAAGAAGAAAATCGGTGGATTAGACGCATGCGAAAAGACTGCGTAACCACATGAACCCTAAGAGGAGATTGGAGAAGAAAATGGAGATGGAGATGAAGATGAGATCCGTGGATTGGATCCGATCCGATCCGTTATTTCACGGATTCGATCCGATCCGATCCGATCCGTAGGCTAACAGATTGGTGGCGGATTCAAAATCTCCCAATCCGTTGCGAGCGGATCAGATTAGAATTTATATCTAATCCGATCCGATCCGATCCCATCCGATCCGTGGTCACCCCTAGTATAAATTGCAAATATAATGGAAAAAATTGAGATAATGGATTACTAAATTCTTGAAAATAGAATAATACAATTACAAAAAAGGCCAAACACAAAATCCATATTTGATTTATATTGAAATTATAGAAATGTCAATAGTTATTGGTTAAAATAGATTATGAGTTAATCGGGTTGACGGCACATGAATATGACATGATTAATTAAATGGCTCTAATCGAGTAAAACGGGTTCAACTCCAAAACACGAACATGACACGATTAGTTAAACGGGTTGGCACAATTATGACACAAACATGTTTAGGACCCGTTTGGCATGTGCTTTGTTTTTGGCTAAACAAAAACAGTGTTTTTGCTGTATGAGTGTTTTGGGAAAAAATCTGAAGCGCGCTTGGGAAAAATGTTTTGCTGTGGAAATGTCGGAAACAGAAACATGCACAGTTATGGTTTTAGGCCATGAACAGTTGTCAAAACAAGAAAAAACATCTTTTTGGCGTTTTGATTTTGGGCCATTATTCATGAAGTGTTTTTAGCATTGTATAAAATAAAATAAGGTCGCACCAAACATTCTTCTGTTGCCAAAATCGACATCGTTGCAGCCAAAAAAAAAAAAAAAAAAAATAGCATAAACAAAACGCATGCCAAATGGAGCTTTAAGGTAAACGCAAACCTGCTAACTTCGTGCAGGTATTGTTCACATTGCACTCCCCCCGTACTCTCGATTTTCAAAACGCACCTTTTATTTTATCCACGTCCTGAGAAGTCTAAATCCAACTCCACACCTCACCAAATCATCAATAGAAAACTTAGTATCTTCTTCTCAAAACAAACAAGAAGGCAAAAAAAAATGACTTCGCATCAACATGCTCTAGAATTTCTTGGGCATTCCTGCAATGTTATATGTTGTGAAATTTCTCATTGTGTAAGTGCATCTTTCCTTCCAATTGCAATTATTGTCAAGGCAAACATGCACATTCTTTTTACACCACTTTCGCTATAGAATGCATTTCATGATGTTCAATATAATCTCTCACCTTCTTGAATAGTGGCTATGCTTCGGCTTCCGATAAGACTCCAATTTGGAAGTTCTCACTTTTAGGAATCCTCCTTTCTTTGCGCACATCTTGTTGCCGAAAGGTCAGTAAAATTTTATAACCATTGGTACGATCATTGATAGCTGATGATCCTATGTCCTCCAAGTTAATTTGATCATTCCAAACGTCATCTACCATTACAAGGATCTTCATATAATTTTTCAATCTATTGCATAGTTGACCCTTTCTTGCATCAGCCTCTTTATCTAATGTCAGATGCAAAGCTTCTGTAAGTTTTTATTGAATTTATTTCAAATTTGGATTTGTGGCGATAACAGTCTCAACAATCTCTTTAAAAATTCCTTCTTTCAATTGGGTGACGATATTGCTAGTAATGTTGTGGGAACGGTGTTGGAGCTGATCAGACACCACTTGTACGCATCCATCGGTTGTCAATTTGGTTATATGGTTCACTAAAGAAAAACATTAAAGATTTTGTAGATGAAATTGACAGACTTGTTCTTGCGAAGGGAAGTGTTGAGACAATGTGCAGCCTTGGACAATGCTGAATTCATTCAGGATGATGTTTCGGAGTGGCTGACGAATATCTAGAGCATGGACAACCATGGAAAATGGTGCCTAGACAAGCTAGGAGGGTGTCTATGAAAGGGGCAACACTTGCAAGTTTCCCTATTAGATCAAAAAAGAACAAGAAAACAAGAATAGATTACATGAAGGCAAAGAAAATCTCAAGTGTCTTGATGTTTGCTCATGGTATTGGTTGGCCAAGGAAGGGGAAAAGAAGATTGATTGATGTTACTAAGCTTATAATCTTTTTTTATGAGATCGCTGAGACCGAGAATTTAAATTTTAAAGACTTACAGAAGTTATGAATCTGACATTAGATAAAGAGATTGAAGATGCGAGAAAGTCTTGCTACGCAATAGGTTGAAAAATGTTAAGACAATTCTTGTAATGGTAGATGACGTTTGTAATGATCAAATTAAGTTGGAGGCATAGGATTTCCAGTTATGAATGATCATATTAGGGGTTGCAAAATTTTACTGACCTCCCGGTGACAAGAGACGCGCAAAGAGATGAGGGTTCCTGAAGATGAAAGCTTTCAAATTGGAATCTTATCGGAATCTGACACATGGTCTCTATTCGAGAAGAATGTGGGAGATTCAATCAAACATCATGAAATGCGTTCTGTAACAAAAGCAGTGTGGAAAGAATGTGCACGTTTACCCTTGGTAATACTTGTTAGAGGAACACCAAAGAGTAAGCAGGTATGGGAAAATGCACTTACACAATTGAGAAATTTCACAGCAGATAACATTGCAAGAATGCTTGGGGAACTCTATTCACATACAGAATTGAGTTCCAACTATCTAGAGCCTGTTGATGCGAAGTCAATTTTTCTGCTTTGTTGCTTGTTCTGAAATGATAATGAGATTTTTATTGATAATTTTGTGAGGTGTGGAGTTGGATTGAGGCATCTCCGAGTTGTGGATAAAATGAAAGGAGCGTTAGAAAACCTTGGGTATGAAGAGTGCGCAAAGCGGACAATATTTACACATGGTGGGTGGGTCCTGACATATGGTATCAAAGGCACTAGAAATGGGGGAAGCGTGCACAAGGGTCCTGACATATGGTATTAGAGGCACTAGAAATGGGGGAAGCGTGCACAAGTCCATAAGGGCCACGCTAGTGAGGACGTTGGGTCCCAAGATGGAGGGGGTGATTGTGACACCCCGCATCACCTGGTGGAAGAGGTTGTTACATGTGTGGACATCTCCAATTGTTTAGATACGTTTTGAAAACCGTTGGCACGGACAATGTTCTAAGCATACAATATCTACACAAGGTGGGAGAGTTTTGACAATGAGTAAATATATTATGTATTTAAAATATTGAAAGGAATTTATGTATACCTAAATAATTGTATTCAGAAATTGATGTTTGAGAAGATGAGCGAAGAACTCGTGAGCCCCCAAAATATGAGGAAGCCACTTGTTAAAATTTAAAATATCAATATTGAAGGGTTCTGGGTCTTGATTCATATCCTTTTGCCACTAAAATAAACTGACCTTGTGAGATTTGTCCCAATTTCAAATTGTAGAGTGGGTGAAGAATCTTTTGGAATGGTGGGATCAGTTGTATGGCTGGCTATCCTTGCCTTATCTGGCACGGTGAGTTAATTGGTAACTTGATCAAGGTTAACTGAGCAGAGTGGACTCAATCGGATGGTTGTTGCGTGTTTTACACAGGCATTAATTGGTTGGCTAAGTGTTGCAGATGGGGAATTATAAGTTCCATTACATGATTTAAGCAAATGAGCATGTTCCTTTGACAGCCATCAAATTATAACAAATTATTAAAATTGCAACATTTAAATTTTAAACCTTTAATTAATATTTAATTGCCTTTAGTGACTTTTTTTTTTTTTTTTTTTAAAGGGTGCCCTGGTAGGATGTATAAAATGATGGATTAGGGAATTGATAAATGAAGGGTGAAAAACCTTTTTATTTGCATCCCGGAGTGAAAAATTAAAGGAAAAAGTAAATGAGTTTCTCATATCTCTTGCAAACTTTGTGTATTCTAAATTGTTTTAAGAATATTTAAATAAAGGCTGATACACGCAGTGTGTAGAAATATTGAGGGAGTACGATTGGGTACAAACCTAACTTTTGGTGTTATTTGCACGAAGTGGATACTCTCAAATTTGAACTTGCATTCTCACCCTTGGCAGCTTGCTTTACTAAGCAATGGCTTCCAAATTATTTGAATAATCTTACTAGTGAAAAAAAATATTTGAATAGTTTAGTTGATGAAATAACAAATAATTTTTTCATTATCAAATTGCCAAAATTGATAAATTGTGCATGTAGACAATACCATGGATGTGTCTTGAGCATCTTGCATGTTATGATACATTCAAAGAGGAACTCATATTTACTATGTGACTCATGGTTTATTTGATATGTTTTGTATTCTTACAATGCATGTCAGATGGAGGAGCGGTGGCTATTCTTTTTTTCATTATCTTATGATTCTTATCTTTCTTGTATGTAATTAATTCATGGAGTTGATGATTTTCCAGTTCTCCTTTCATCTTCACATATATATAGATTTACTGATGATACATTGGCTCTTGTTTGTGAGTTTTTGGTTTTTAAAAACGATGTCAATACCTGTGTTACCCAGACTCGGGTATGGGTGTCGGACACGGGTGCGTGTCTAGAGGTCGGATTCATCAGTTCATCAAATTAAGGGACACAGGGACTCGGTTAAAAAGTGTCCAATATCTAGACACGGGTACTTGGACACTTCTATAAATGAAAATTGTATAAAATTTTAATGCATGAGTCATCATTTTTCTAATAAATATATATATATTTTTTTTCGGAAGGTGAATAAAAAATAAATATTAACCAGCTTTCATGCCATAGCTGTATCTCTTATTTATGTTAGCTATACCTTTTGAATACCATTTGAAAGAAATATGCCAGATGTTTTTTAAATTTGTTTAAGAAAAAGTAACCATTAGTTACAGCTAATGAGTATTGTATTTTTGTAAGTAAATATATACTATTACTTTTTATTAGTTAGAGCAGTAATTATTGGCTTACAGCTGTAACCCATTACACAGCTGGATCCCATTAACTAAAATGTTATGTCCACCATGGACAAGTGGCACCGTAAAAATAGAAAAAGCATTAAGAGATAGCTGGCGGAGACGCATCTTCAACCTTTGAAGAACTAACACCATCGTCAATGGCAGCCTACCCCTTTCGTTTTTTGAACCAGCTTTCTAGCACCATCATCAATGGCAGCCGTGTCCGGTAGACAAGTGAGGAGTCCCACTCGTATCCGGTGTCTGTGTCAGCATCGTGTCGTGTCGACACGGACACTTCACCGGTTCTGGCTAGTCCGGTAGCATAGGTCAATACTAGTCTTTATCAAGATATTTTGGACTGACTGAGAACATTTGAGAAGTTTATTTAACCTAGCTGTGTTAAAGGTTATTGTTGGTGCATTGATGCAAATTGGATGTCTCCTTGAATATTCATTTGATGCTCGAGATATCTCTTTAGTAGAGTAAAACTTTAGGATGTGCATATTGAAGTTACCAAAAATAAACCGGGCCTTGTATGGACTAATTCAATGGGCCCAAAGCTGGGAAAGGTCATCAGCCCACACGCAGAATGGACCAGTGAGCCCAATAGTCATTAAGACTACGTTAAAGCCCAACCACAAGAGGAGGTTTGAAAGAATCCTCCTCAATATACGGCCCAAATGAAAGACTGACTCGAAATCAGCCCCAGTAGAGAGAGTTTTAGGAGGAAGGTTCTAGAATGATTGTATATGTCTACAAATAGTAGCAAAAGAAAAGGGATTGGATTGTTTGAAGTGTATGAAAATATCTTTCTGTTACTTCACATATATTTTGGAGGAGCATGCATTGCGGAATGTTCCTTCTGAATCTATGTTGATTGTTTATAGTGATATTAAATTAGATTATGCTAATTTTTTCTTTCCTGAAGGTGGTGACAAATATTTCACAAATTTGTGAATAACTGTCATGAAATGCAGATTTGCCTGCAAATGTAACGTATTGTTTGTCAAAAAGAAATCATACAGAAGGATGAGAGGTCTAATTTTGATATGTTCTGCTGGGTGAATAATGCAGGTTCTCCTCAGAGGTCCAAAGAATGCTCGTGAGGCTGTGAAGCACTTCGGCAAGGCTCCTGGTGTGCCACACAGTCACACCAAACCATATGTGAGGTCAAAGGGGAGGAAGTTTGAGAGGGCTCGAGGAAGGAGGAACAGCAGGGGATTTAGGGTTTGAGTTATTTGCATGCTTTATTTTGAGGCAGATTTATTGTTACAATGTTGGCAATCCAAATTTTGCAAGACACATAGATATCTGTATCAGTTGCTTATGTTTGTTTTTTGTTTCTCTGAGATTTTCTTGAACTAATAGTAACTTGGATTAATCAACGTGTGGCTTTAAGAAGCAAGAAGATTATCTATTGTTAGAAAGTGGTATGTTTGGTTTATTTTTATATCCGTATGTTGCATATCGTTGTGATTGAATAATGGTTGGAGGGACTATTGTGAGGATGTTGCAGATGAATTACTAGTAATTCATGGAGTCATTGAACTGAATAGGTTATCAATCTGCGGCAGAATCATTTTTGTGGTTTTTGAGCAGGAAGGTTATTGACTTGCAACGGTTATCTGCCACATTGAAAAATGCCAAGGTTTTAAGTTTTTTACTGGTCACAAACTCTCGTTTATTTTGCTCCCATGGAAACTTGAATGGTCAACTGTTTATTTTAGAAGGTGAGGAAGTATAAGTTTTTACTTGTCAAGTGGATGAAGTGTGAAAGGATGTTAAATTATTAGGTAAAATACTCTCCTCTGAGCTTGGGCAGACACTAAGTTTGTTCCTTGTACCATTTTGTGAGCCAAAAGAAGGTTGGAAATCAAGTGTGTGCCTTGTCTCTTGTGCCTTTCAATTAACCTTTGTGTGACCAAGTGCCAGAATAAGGTGAAAATTCTGAACCTTTGTGACACCATCCATGGTGGTTTCTTTGAGGTCCATTGTGTCACTTGATCTGTGTTTGCCCTGCAAATTGAGGTCATGGATATGGGTTTGTGGAGACGAAAATGGGAATTGGGGTTCTTGATGTGTTGAAGAATGAAATGAGAGGCAATGAAGTAGTTGTATATTAGAGAGAGTACATGTTAGTATTATGAATCAAGTCAATGATATTTAAGTGAATGTGTGAATAGGATGGTGGTCATGCCATAGCAGAATTATGGCAACTATGTCATTATACAAAGAAGCAAAATAAAAAAAAATAAAAAAATTAATGGTTATGACCTTTAATTAAGTAGAGGTACACTGACCAAATCTCATAGAAACGGATAAGGATTCTCTCCTGCGCAGGGGAGATCCTACACACAGAATCTAATAGCTGAGATTGAATTGATAAATAGAACCTATTAGTGCTATGCAATTTTAACCACTGAATTCACTGGAGATGGTCCTTGTCCCATATAAACCAATAGAGTAATTAATTAGGTCAAACCTATGGGAGGTCCTAAATCATCCAAAACAAAAACCACATGCACAAAGGATATTGGATTCAAAGGATCTTCCAAAACTTGTTTTTGCCATGGATGGTATCTAACAATTCTGATTCCATATAGGTCTGAACCTCTGCTACTATGGTATCACAAGTGTAGTTTATCAGCTATAATTTCGTTACCAAATGTATTATTTCACCAATTTGTAATGATGGTCGGAGTGAATACTGCATCTGTGCATTTCTAATGTTCCAATGACTACTGATATTGAAAGAAAAGGAGGTTTTTTTTTCACTGTAAAACACAACCATACACATGTTCCAACATTGATTCAACAGAAGTTGCAAAAACTACATCCTTTATTTCTTAGCCTTCCAAGGATCTGAGATGTTATCTACAGCCAGTTTACACTAACAGACACTCTTCATCGAGACACAATCGACGTACGAATTCACACTAGACTTGATAGGAACGGAAACACACAGCACAAGAAGTTCAAATGGGCAGTTCAAAACTTCTTGATGAAATCATGAATGTGATTGTTAACTTCCTTTGCTCTTTCCTGGTTGATGAAGTGACCAGCTCCTTCTATTATGACAACTTCCTCCAACAATGGCACATCTTTCTTGAAACCACCATTGTGTATGTATTCCTTCATCCCTGGTGTGGTATATATCATGTCTACATCACCCACAATAAATTTCACTGGCACTTCAACTTGCACTCCTGTCCATGGTGCCGTGAGCTCCCAATTTCTGCAATGAATAGAAAAGAACAATGTATAAGATTTCTTTGTCATAGTTCTTTCGTTTCATTTAATGCAAAAATAAGTGTTGAGACGAGCCTTGGTACAACGGTAAGGCTGCTCAATTTTGACCCGGAGATCATGGATTCAAACACAAGAAAAAAAGAAAATAGTGGCAGACATAAAACTGTTTTAGAAGATCTTGTTAGACAATACTTTTAGGCGTATTAGTTTGGCCGAATTGTCTGACCTATTACTACCACCAGATGTATTAAAGCATGTCTCTGGGTGTAAGTTTATAAGTGATTCGGTCAGACCATTGGAGTTACAAAAAGTTTTTTTTTTAGAGGGCAGTCATGTATAACTATGCACGCAACTGACAACCCTGATGTGACACGCACCAGTGCTATAAAAAAATAGCGTCTCTGTACGCGGAGGTAAGACAATAAGATTAAGGACAGGCAGTACTTACAAATCGAGAGCTCGGTAGTAGTTCAACCCTCCGGTGAAGCCCTTGTGATCATATTTGTTGGTGTAATATTTGAGGTCTGATTCTGAAAACCAGAATGGCAACTTAGTAGGAGTGTTGGGAGAGATTCCGAAAGCGTTCCCTTTAGGCAGCAAGCATGGTGGACCTGGTTTTCGATCTGTTAAGATTTTCTTGATCACTTCTGCTGTTCCACACTTTGCTATCTCATCTTCAATCTCTCCAGGTTCCTACAATATTACATAACTATTTTCATGTGCACCAATTGATAGATAATTGAAAACTCAAGCTATGTAATTCAATTTAGTAGTTCATGTTGTAGATCTTATAACAAACAGCAAGTAAAACAAAAATGTAGTGGAAATTATTATTCCTATATATGGGGAAACTCTAAAACCATAAAATGTTAGATTAGTTGAAACAATTTTCACTATATTATAATCATAATTAGGTTCAAGTTGTACGTCCTCTTACAAGATAAAAGATTGAGAATTTAACTTCCCAATGAAACAAATGAGTACGAATAAGTAAAGAAAGACTTAAATTCTCCCCGATAGTTTCCTAGAAATTCACCACGACGATTTGGTGAATCTCACTATTATAAACAAAATTAAATCAGTAGTAAGTATAATAAAAAATTGAAAAAAAACGTGAATGGAGAGGATTTTAATCCACGTAAGCCTTCGAAGGGTCTTTCATTGTTGGCCCCCTCCCCCATCAAACAGCAACAAACAAAAGTATTTAATTTCCTTAAAAAAAGTAGGATTGGTGTAAAATGGTAATTAGATTTAGAGTTTTGCAACCCAAAATTTAGGAAAGAACACAATCAACCAATCACATCCCTTCACCATAATTAGTTAATAACCACTTCCCCTTTGTTACGACCAGGATCACTCAAACGTGTGATCGTGTCAGACGTGTGAGTGACTGCGGCCGTCTCTGTTGCAGAGCAAGAGGAATGCAACTTCATTCAACTAATTAATTAAAACTAAACATGACCAAAGTTAGTTAAATGCCTAGAAATTTAGAAACAAAATTAACCTGAAATCTGCACATATAATAATCATCTCCAAAGAAAGCTTTCATGCCCTCTATGGGCTTCATCTTAGGATGCCTAGGCCGAAATGGCAAGGTGAGTGACACCAAGGCCTTGACTCTATCAGGCCGAAACAAGCACAAGTACCATGCAACCATACAGCCCCAGTCATGTCCCACCACAAACACTTGATCCACTCCCAGAGTGTCGATGAGGCCGACGATGTCGCCGACCACGTGGTGGCTCGTGTAGGCGGCGGCGGAGGCTGGAGCGTCGGTGTCTCCGAAGCCGCGGAGGTCCGGAGCAACGGCACGGAAGCCGAGGGCGGCGAAGGCTAGAATCTGGTGGCGCCAGGTGTACCACAGCTCAGGGAAGCCGTGGAGGAAGAGCAGCACTGGGCCTTGGCCTTTCTCGGCTACGTGCATGGTTATGCCGTTCACGTTTACCATCTTGTGCTCTATTCCATCCATCTCTGTAGTTTTCCCATTGCCGTTCATCATCTTGTGCCCTATTCCATTCATCTCTCTCTCTCACGAGTCTCACACACACAAACACACTATCTCTCTGTGAACTTACTTGCAAAATGTACTAGAAGGTGGTCACTATATATAAAGTGTGATGATGGGAACTTGGGACCTATGCTTTGGCCTTCCATTTTTTACTAGTATATTTTTCTCTTCACTCATTTTTTAATCTCTCTTTTTTTCCAAGAAAAAGAAAGAAAAAAAAAAAAAAAAAGGCTCACACCATTTTATTGAAACTTAAACCCTCACCTCTCAAAATGAAATAGAGAAAATACGATAAATTATTACATGGTCTGGATTTGAGATTCTCGGCAATCACAACTCGATAAAGTTGTCATATTTGCTAATGTGTCAAGTTATCATTGGCTGGAACCATATAATAATTTTTTTTAAAAATATTATTAGGTTAAAACCCTTTAGTTATTAACTATAAGATAGAGAAGCCAGATTAGGGTTTTAGAAGGGAAAACATACAACGAACTGCAGCATTTCATTACAATTGTTATGAGAGGGCTCCATGCTTTTTTGCTCTGATCTTGCACAATATTCAAACCCTAAAAGATTTTTATTTTTTTTTGATAAACGGGGTGTCGGGGGGTTCGCCTTGACTAATCAACGGGACCTTGCAAAACAACATCTTTATATGAATCGAATAAAGTTTGAATTATGTTTGGGGTTGTGGTCTCTAAAGAATTGATCGTTCGCACTCGAAAGGATTCGAATTTGAGAAAAAATATTTCACGAGGCACTAATTAATTTTGTTGGGTTAGTATAATCTTATTTTAAGATATTTTGAATTAATTTGTATTTTTAACAAGACCATTTTTAATTTGGGCTAGGTGATAACTTAACCTGCACTATTTTACATGTTCAAAATGTGTTAATTTATAAAAATATTTGAGTTGATGACAACTACCAAACTTAACTCCTTTAAAAAGTGATGGATGGGAAATTTAATTGATGGAGCTCATTCAATTCGAACGGTGTGTAGTTTCAGTGCTTTGGGAATCGTATTCTTTGGATTCTCAAGACAAAATCATTGTTTTTTATTTCTTGACAATCGAAATATTTGAACACATTATGTATACTGCAGGGGGCAAATTTAGTGCAACTGGTTCTCACCGTTTCGAATTTTTGAAGAGGTCAGGTCAAATGTTCAGACTGACCTTACATAGAGATTATTTTTTTGTTTCGAATTTGTCACCAGTATGTTAAGACTTGGTCCAAAATTTTAGCCGAACAAATTTTTTTAAAATTTTTAATTGAAATAAATTATTGTTTTGATATGTAAAATGAGTAAGTTATTCGCTTAAATGCTCATTAATAAAATTGGCTTATTTTCCAACACTCTTTATTGATAACTAATTGAGCTAAAGTGAAATAAATGATTCGGCTGACTTCTGGTAAATATCTATTTAATAATGCGACTTGGATGCTATGGTAGGAGGGTGTGGTGACCACTTTCATTAAGTGTGATTAAATTTATACAGAGGTTGAATGAAAATCATCTCACATGAAATAGGGTTTACGGGATATAAATATTAAATAAATTTTGATAAGAAAGTGAAATAAATGATTCAGGTGACTTTTGAATATAAACTGCTGACAAATATATATTTAATAATGCGACTTGGATGTTATGTGGTAAGAGCGTAGTGCGATCATCCCAAATGAAATAGAATTTTGTATAAACGTGAGTTCATCCCATATAAAGTAAAAATTATGCGATAAAAATTACACTCTATTTGAAATAAAAATCACCTCTAGTGAAATAGTGTGTTATTTATTTTATTTTGAAATAAGTGGTCCAGAGGTTGAATGAAAATCATCTCACATGAAATAGTGTTTACGTAATATAAATATTAAATAAATTTTGATAAGAAAGTGAAATAAATGATTAGGGTGACTTTTGAATATAGGCTTCTGACAAATATATATTTAATAATGCGACTTAGATGTTATGCGGAGAGAGTGTAGTGATCATCCCAAATGAAATAGAATTTTGTATAAAAGTTGAGGGAGGTCATCCCATATAAAGTAAAAATTACCCGATAAAAATTACACTCTATTTGAAATCACCTCTAGTGAAATAATGTATTATTTATTTCATTTTAAAATGAGTGGTTTAAAAATTGTCAAGTCATCCATATTTGAGATGTATAGTAGAAAAATATTCAGATGCATGAAAAATATTGAAATGTATTTTACAAAAATATTAGAATATATTTTTATTTATAAAAATAAAAAAAAATAAATTACTGTATAACTGGAGGTGGACTTTGTCCAATTTTCACCCTCACATATGGACAGCATTGTGCCATGCACAAAAATGAATCTTCTCTCTTAATTATGAATCCCTTTCGAGATGAAAATAAAATAATAATAATAATAATAATAATACTGGTAATACCAATTATACCAGTGAGGTGGAGTGGAACCTATAGTAAATGATTCATGACACCTGAACATGGGCTTCTGACAAACAAAGGACAGACTATTTATTCCTAAAGAAATAAAAATAACATGGTTTTAGCAATTATTTAATAAGTAATGTTACCCTGAGGTAGATCTCATGTGAGTTGCCATAAGCTTACTTTTTTTTTTTTTCGTGATGATATACAACTATTGATATAAGAATTATCGATAGAATTCTATACCAATTAATCAAATTTCTATATATTTTTTTTAAAAAAAATTCAATCAAATTAAAGAACTCATGACAATTGTCATTGTCATGAGATCAATCGCACAGTAGAAGTACTCTTAACTCATAGTTGTGTGTTTTCATTTGTTATTTCTGTTTCTTTTGTGTTAAGAATGATTAGTTTTGTGTCCTACGCTGAGGTAGACATAAATGTGAAACTTCCTCAGTTACCTTTTTGGTCAGCACCATTACTTAAAGGGTATAGGACTGTTCAACCTTGTGTGAGCTGACGTGGAACCTATAATATGGGCTAGGCACCATGGGTCCATGACAGCAAAATGTCGAAGTCATTATTTTGTTGTTGATGAAAGACTTATGTAACAATAGCAAAACTTTAAATTAAAACTACAAAAAAAATATTTATTATATCTATTATTTTTAAAAAATTAACGTTATTTGTACACGTAGATTCAGTTAGGGGTGACAATTCAGGTTGATAGGTCGCATTCGTTAAAATTAACACGAATACAATACAATTATATATATTTATTTTACACGTTTAGTTAAATAAGTCATTTTTGACAAACATATGATACGTTTATCTGACACGTTTAGTTAATCGTATTAGTAGGGTCAAACGCGAACACAATTAACCTAAATTTAAACCCTCTTATCTCGTGTTGTGTTAAATATTGCCACCCCTAATAAGTAAGACTCATTTCCCCTTTTTCCTTCTTTTTGGTCGAAAAGATTTATAGAAATATTTATTATATCTATTATTTTTCAAAAATTAACGTTATTTGTACACTCAGATTCAGTTAGGGGTGACAATTCAGGTTGATGGGTCGCATTCGTTAGAGTTAACATGAATATAACACGATTATTAATCGAGTCAAGACCTCTTGACACGAATATGACACGATTAGTATACGTATAATACGACACGACACGCGTAACCTGTTCAATAAATGGATCAAAACTTGACGCGATACGAAATAATACGAAAAGAGATGTTTAAGTCATTTTTGACACAAATACGATACATTTATTCTATACGTTTAGCTAAGTAGGTCATTTTTGACACACATACGACACATTTATCTGACACGTCTAGTTAATCGTGTTAGTAAGGTCAAACATAAACACAATTAGCCTAAACTTAAACCCTCTTATCTCGTGTTATGTCAAATATTACCACCTTTAATAAGTAAGATCCATTTCCTCTTTTTCCTTCTTTTTGGTCGAAAAGATTCAATATACACAAAGCTGTAGAATAAATTCCATAGATTCCCACTATTACAAAGATTTAAGTAAGATTAGATGTACCTAATTTTATCTCTAAATAAGACTACACTTAATTAATTCTGTGTCACACAGTATTATAAATTTATAAGTCAGGTTTCCCCAATTCTAGCATAAGTCAGATGGAAAAACACAAAATGGCTTTTTTGAAGGTGACAGATGTATTAAATAACATTCATTTGGTCTACCAACTCGACAATCAAATGAAAGTGAGTCATTGACACACAGGTGCATGTGACTCACTATCACATGCGTGACACCACAAATAAAAATAAAATAAATGTACAAATTAATTAGGTAGCAGACTTCGACTTAAGAGTGTTGATAAATGTAAGTTAATTGTATGTTGGAACTACCACTCATTAATGGTTTTCACCAACAATTGGCAGAAATTGTAAATGCCAATATTGATTGCGTTCACCAACTCAAACTACCAAATATAATTGGTAAATAGTCGACTCACCCCATGTTTGTGAATACCACCGCTATCTCATCACCATGTACATTTCACCGATCATGGTTATATATAAATTAATATAACAACGTGCAAAGACCTCTGTCACTGAAAGACCTCGTCAATCTTGGATTGACTCATACTAGCCTCCCATTTTTCATCATTTGCCCCCTATTCTCCTGGTTGCTTGTGGGATATTGAGAATGTGAGAAGTTATTTTTTTCTCCCTTTTAAAGGGGAGTTTTTTTTATTTATTTGTCGACGAGTATATTGTAGATTGTCACATATTTACAGGCTCACAAAAACATGTATTGGGTATTGTTTTCACCCTTAAATAAGAGAAATTTTATAAGTTTTACTTAGCTCGCCCTTTAATAAGGGAATAAATTTTACGATTTTACTTAGCTCGCTCTTTAATAAGGGATTAATTATTTAATCTAAGCTTCATAAGTTCATCCTTTAATAAGGAAATATATGTTTCTAACTTTTGTGAAAACCCCTCTAATAAGGGAGATTGTAATCTTTTTTGCAAACGGATATTGCCCAGAATCATTTAGAGAGCGTTGGAATTAAAATGTAAAATATAACAAAATAAGAATGCAACAAAATGCACAGTAATTATTATTTATTTATGTTC